CGGCCCCATGGGGAGGTTTTCCTGGCTGAGTGCCTTCCCGGCCGGGGGGCAGCGGGCTGCGCTGGGGCCGGTACCCGCACCCGGCAGCGAGCGCCTCCGGAGGGACGGGAGGGCGAGTGCCGAGTGGGATCGGCGCGTGAACCTCTGAAGATACGGTGTTCAGGATACCCTTGGCTTTTATCTTTTCTGTTTTTCGCAGTCCTAAACAGTGATGCTAACGCAGATACAGTGATGTACTGATATCTGTTGTCGTTTCCGGCATCACATGTGCACATTTAGTCTCTTTGCTTTCAGGTGTTTCTTTTGCCCACAGTTAAGGACTTTAAATCACATATTGTTTCCCTTCAGTTTTGTTGAAGCACTTTTCCACCAAAAAGTAACATAACTTAAACTAGCGCTGCAGTGTTTTTTACATCTGTGAGTAGTGTTCTCTTTCTGTGCTGCATGGAGTGCTGGAGGAGAAAAGCCTGTGGCTGCCCCCTGGCGTGAGGCATTCTCAGGGTCTGCAGGGTGGACAAGAAAATCCTTTTTGGTACCTTGTAGAGATTACATATGGCCTTTGTCAGAATCTAGGTGCAGCAGTCGGATAGAAGCTTGAATGGGGGCATTTACTGCAAAGGTATAGAGGAATAATCTTAGTTTCCTAGCTGGAGGGTTTCACAAAATAGATGTTTTGAGAGTAGTCACTATGTAAGATTTTTTTAGAGCATTTTCTGTGCTTCAGTGGTTTTGTTACAGCATGTACCCATGTTCAAGTAATTTTGTTTGTTACTGAGGAGGGTAAGATCTAACTGGTAGAAGTGGTCAGCTGATCAGTTAAGGTCTGAGATACTGATGCATGACCTTTTAAATCTTTACCATGGCGTGTGCTCCTATCTTCTCTTTAATGTTTTACTTAACTTTAGTAGTGTATAGTTACTGTGATTTCTTTTCAGCCAAAGTTACAAAAAACCCAAGGAAGGAAGCAAGAGAAGAAGGTTATCCATCCTTACAGCAGAAAAGCTGCGCAGCTTGCAAGGGAAGCACACAAACAGGAAAAGAAAGAAAAGTAAGTTGACTGCAAAATCTGTGCACAGACCAAAGCATAGCATCACAGTAGATAGTTTTTTGTTTTGGGAGGAGGAGGGTGGTGGTCACTGTTACTCTGATATAAGCTTAGGATAAAAGAAGGACCTATATAACTTAGTACTGCTTGGCCGTGTGAACTGAAAGGTTTAAATTCATGAAGTCAGCTTATACAAAGTATAAATTCTGCTACCTGATTTTTGATATTGCCCTTACAAGTTGGGATTCTTCGTATCACAATGTTTTCCTTTTTATAATTTGAATGGCATGGTGATGTCATGTGAAGCTGTCACCTAGTTTAACTTTACTCCAGGATTTGATAAGAATCGGGCTTAAGGTGTATCCTTGCCCACAGCGAAGGTGTATGGTTTCCCTAACTAGAAAAGAGCCTTCTACAAGCACAGCTGTGTCACATAGCCTCACGCAGAGCTGTTGTAAGAATTTACAAGTAGCATGTGTTGATGATCAGGCAGTTTCCCAGTGGGCAAGAAGTTTTCCTTGCTGCTTCATGTTTTGTCTGTGCTCTCTGACTACTGATTGTAAGTAAGCTTTTATTGTAGATTACTTTTCTAGTGCTGAATTGACTACTTCATCCCTTAACTCTCTCATCTTGCCTTATAACTGCCACTCAGAGCACTTAATCACCAAAGATAACTGAATCATACTTGAGTCTTGGTCCTTACATCTGTGACTTGCCATAAAGAAAAACATGCACGAGAGGACTTACCGAGTGAAGGAGTGATGTAGTGATTATTCATTATGACATGGAACGCTCAACCAAATCTTTTAGGGATTGTCTCTGTGGGTAGAATTATACTGATGCAGATGCTTGTGATGACATTTCTTGTTAGAGTGCTACTTTTGATTCCTCTTGTAACAGCAAGAAGGTCAAGCAACAAACACCCACTGGAATAGTATTCTTCATTTAACTTGCTCTATAATAGTTTTCTTCATGGAGAAGGTTTTAAGGTATATGTTAGAGATTGCACAGGGCAATTTATTTTGTTGCAGGTAAGAGTGTACGAAATACATCATTAATTTCTCTGCTTAGTGCATTAATATTTCAGTAATTATGTCATCCTTTCCTGAAAAGGAATGAAAAGATGCTGGCTTTAAGCTGATTAGGCTTTGTTACTGAGGCAGCTAGATTTGGCAAGTCATTGTAAGTAAGTAATGCTGTTTAATTCTAACATAGGTCCTTTTTCTGCTGAAGAGCTGAGAAGTTTAATGTTTTAAGGGTATTCAGAGCAGTGTCAGGGTGTCTTGGGCCACTGGAGCCACTTTTGCGGTAGCGGACTCTTAGTCCACTGCTGACGTTACAGAGTGAAATCTACAGAGCAAAATAGGGAATCAAAATTGTTTTGGGAGTCAAAGGCCACTTAGTAATTTTGAGCACACACGGTTCAGTAAGCTGGAAATATTAATGACTTTCTGACTGATTCTGTAGGCAGATACACTCATAGTAAGCAATTGTAACACACCTTGCCCTTTCTCGTATGATGACCTTAACCCTTAAGTTTGGTTAAAAAATAAAGTTATAGGTCCCCCAACGACAGATAAAAGATTAAATTCTTTAAATTTATTGGAAGTTTCCTTTCAGCAGTTGTCACCAAATGTATTAATTTCAAGACTCGCTCATCTGAGAGCTGGTTCTGGTGCCTAGACTTTTCTATGTAGATTTCTGTCTGTGCTTGCCAGAGTAAATTAAGCCTGGTAGGTCAGCACATGGCAATACCAGTCTTGTATCTCCACTAGCCCACGTGGTTGTAGTTTTACAGAAAGTGCTCCAGTTAATATATAGTGAAATGCAGCTCTCAATAGAAACACTTTTTTTTTTTTTTTTTTAAACCTCACCAATAAAAAAGGGGATTTGTTGGATTGAACACCAGTTAACTTAGTGCTGGAGAACCAGGTTACACAAGGATGAAGTGAGGGTATATGTTTAGGGAGTTTACTTCCTATTCCTTGCAACCTTATCTTGACTAGCAGTAGAACAATTGCTACAGCATCTTCCCTCTGTCCCCTAGCACCTGTTGCCACTGGCTGTTAAAACCAGCTAAATGGTCCTTGCCCTTCTTCTGGGTTCCAGTAGTTTCCTCTGTGCCCAATGACAGGTTAACTCTAAGCTTTTTTTGGAGGATTTGTTTTGTACAAATGCTTTTGCTGACACATGTAAGTCTATCGTGTCCCTTCAGCCTTTCTTTGTAAAGTTATTTTCTTTTTAAAAAGGAATTTTACTTAAAAAAATGTATTTATAAATGAGTTTTTTGCCTGTTTAAGAGACAGTGTCTTCGTAGCAGTATGGTTAGCATTGCTGTTTCTGTCCTCTGCAATGTAGCAAAAGGCATGGCAGCAGAATCCCTCCAAGTGAAAGAAGCAGACCACCTTGGTATGTGTCACGGTTACCTGAGGAAAAAGGGCCATTTTATGAACAATGATGAAATGTTAGCAGTGAAGCAAGCTAATGAAAAGTGAGCTTCAAGCAACCTGGTGAAAGAGCAGATGGTTTATCCTGAATTGTTGTGGGGATCAGGGAAGCCTAATGCCTTCACGGAGCAAAAGTGCTTGATAGACAGAAAACTCAGTTTAGGATTAGACGATGTAGATAGCTATCCTTTCCATTAGGCTTTTTTCAGGATGTTAATAGTTATCCTTTTTAGACCTCACACAGCAGAGATACTCCATAGAGAGAAACGCAGTTTAAAATCAGAGGATGTAGACTGTTACCTGTTCCTTTAGGCTCGGTTTCTTGGTTTCTGCCTTTTCCAAGCTCCCTTTCTATTTCAAGTGTGAGGCCTCTAGGCTGGTGGTGAAAGATGTAACCATTTTGCACAGGGAAACTGTTCTCCAAAAAGTAGTGTGTCAGTCTGGGCCATCCAAAGAGTGTTGTGATAGCAAAACGATCAATCTGTAAATAAGGTTTCTGCATCTTGCAGTTCTGGGCCCTAAAGAATTAACTTCATGTTGTTCACATCTGCACTTTGTAGATCTCTTTGTTATGGTATTCCAGAAATATTTTGCATTCAGAACATCCTCCAATTGTCTATATTCTATTTTCTGTACTCTCTTGGCTTGAAGAGCAATTGAACTCGAAAGATATGAATAATGTTGATTTCTTTTCTTTCCTGGTGTCTTTAAAGGGTTCCAGTTTCTTTTTGGGTCTCTATTATCTTAATGACTTATTTTTTTAAATACTGAGAGTTCAGCATGTGTTTAAAAACAGTCAGTTTAGCCACTAACCAGGCTTTTTCATGTAGTTACTTCGCTTTCAGTTTCTTTAATATAAAGGGTGGGGTTTGGGTTCATTTTTTCAGAGTCCTGAAAAAAGACAAAATAAATTTCTGATGCAGTGGATGGAGGAAATCTTTCCACTCCTACGCTCAGGAAAAAGAAGTAGCCCACACCAATTCTGCTCTTTCTCATTGCTTTTGCACGTCTGTTAAATGTCATCTTCCAGTGGCAGCTGAGACCGCTAAATAAATGCGCTGGCATTTTTGCTTCCAAATTTTGACTTCACTGCAATAAATTTACTGAAGTTTTTTTTCACCGGAAAATGACTTGGTGAAGTTGAACTATCTGTAGAATTTTCCAAATCACTTCTATTTAGCGACAACCCTATTCTCTGGTTGGCAGGTTAATGTATCCTTTAGTGGTAAATGGAAGCTGCCATGTAATCTCTACAGTATTTTCTTTCTTAATCCCATCTACAAATCTTGTATTTTTTTGACCGTGCTTCTCATCGCATCCAAGTAACTAGTCTTAAATGTGGGGAGGGCCCAAAAGTGGAGTCAGTACTCTCAGCATGATCTCATCTGCCCCGAGTAAAGGCGAACCTCTCTCTGCACAAGCTATTGCACTTCTGCAGCATGGACCAACTGGATCAGGGATGGTCAATGAGTCCAGGGAGTTCATTCAGTGCATCTGTATTGTTTTAATTTTGCTGTGGATTTACTTGTCAGAAGATGCTGTGATTGTGCTTGGCTAAATTTGTGGAATAATACTTTTTGAACATATATACATTTTACCTTTGTACCGAACAGCATTCAACCGATGTTAACTTGGGTGGAAGCAGCCTTTGAATGGCATGTTTCTGGAAGGTGAGAATGTGTTTTGTAGAAGCATGAGTAAAGGTTTGCTTTGGTTTAGTTGGGTTTGTTTCTTTCGGGTTGGTGGGTTTTTTCCTTTGGTACTTGGCTGAAGGCAGGATTCAGGGCTAGAGACAGTTTAGGCTTCTATTTAACTTTTCTGTGTGATGGAGGAAGAGAAATAACTCCTGTGAACAATCCTGCTTAAAATAAACAGGAAAGGAAATTGCATTTAGTTGTGAGATGCACAACAGGGAAGACATTACCTGTAAGGAAATTCAGTGCTTAATGCAACACAGGAAAGAAGGAGGGAGAAGCTCTGGTCTAAGTTGCAGAAGTCTTTTACAGCTTCCATTGTGCAGATACTCCTGAATGCAAGCATTCTTAATGAGATTTGGCAGTAATATTAAGCTTATTGTCCAGGAGCTGTGGCTGCACTACAAGAGACCAATCTTTACCATAATAAAAGGAGACAGACCAGTTGGGTTTAGAAAATTGACTACATTCTGAAATCATTTTGTTGACTTGAATCGCACCTTTTCTTGCCTGCATCCCTCTTCCCAGTTCTCCTCAAGGGATAATGAGCAGCAACAAATTCCAGTGTATTACCACCAATTTATTCTTCATCTGCATGTGAATCCTTATTTCTACAGACAACTTGTTTGCTTTGTTAAGTAATTACGAAGATGTTTTCATGAGACAGCTATAGCTGGTTCACAGGCGCCAGTAGAACACTGCCTTTCCTACGCTTTGGGAAACCAGACCATAATGGGATATTCCTGGAACTTCTTTTAGTAGCGATGTACCAACACCAATCATGTTCTGTTTGCAGCTGCTGAAATCTCTGTTTGGTTTTGGTAGCCACAGCTGATCTAGCACTGAATTATCTTATTTTTCTGTCTTTTTCCCTCCTGAGTCAAAATACACCCTTTCTGTTGTGCATTTATTATACATTTTTTAGGAGTCTGTGTATTTTCATTACAAATGCACTAGTCTAATACCGTCATGCTCTGAGATACGAGAGCTACGAACTTTTTACAGTATTTCTTGATTTGGCATGAAGCGACCCCTTAGGAATAAGCAGTATCCTTAAAATACCTCCTTGTGGAGCTCTTTGTTTATTTCTCCTTAGCTTTCATGTTGTCTAACATTAATCTCCCTTGAGCCCCTGTGCTTCTAGTTGTATGGTTTGCAGCAGTGATGCTTTGAGATGTACTCTTTTAGATTCTTGTGGATCTGAAAAAATGTTAGCTCTTAAAATTATTTGCTTTTCTTACAGAAATAATGCCAATGAACTACAAAAAAACCCCAAATTCTTAATTCTTATAGGAGTATTTTCATTTGGAAGTATCCTAAAATACTTACCCAAGCCACTAATTGCTGTGTAAGTTAACAAAAATGGACAAGTATGGGGAGAAATAGGGAAGATGTTTAGCACCCTGAAACAAGGAAATACATCCTGTCAACCATGGTTTATTTTTTATTCTTTTTCTTAATGAAAGAGCCTATCTTAGTTCTCAGAGCCATATATGGCATTTGCATCTATGCAAATATCTGTGGATATTAATAGGGAAAAATACTGAATTGATAGACTGATTTGGCAAATATTCATTGTTAGTATTTCGATAGGACAGCTGAATACAGTATCTGAGATAAAGAAGTGGTGATGGAGCATGAAGGCTTTAACCTTTTAAATACCTAGTAAACATCAAGAAAAGCGCTAATCTTCCTTACCATTAAAAACCAGTGCTGAAGCAGATGAGGTTTGGGAGGCAGGTGGGGGAGAGCACCATTGGGAAACAACAGTCTGACACAAGATTGTATCCACACTTAAGAGTGTGGAAGGAGTTGAGAGAAACTTTCTTTGACTTACCTCATTTGATTAGCCTCCCTGCTAATAACTGTTTTGGTCTAGCAGTCAGGTGAGGTTTTTATGAAAACTGAAATAAGGCAACATCTGATCCTATTGTTTGTTATTTCTCATACTAAAATAAGTTGTGTACACCTAGAAACTGAAGGTTTTTCTTTCAGAAGATGATCCTGGTTATATACTTCATTGCCTAGATAAATAAATGACCCGGTGACCCTTGCAGGTGCAAATGCTAGTTTGTAGTATTTTCAGGTAGAGATACATGACATAATTTATGATTCTAATCAGGCAGCTTTTTTAGATGGCATCTTAGTTTTCTCCATGGCAATGCTTTGCAGATGTGCTGGGCTGATATGCTGGGCTGACTTTGTTACCATTCGGGGTTCACAGCAGGGACTGCTGGTGTGGAGTTCCCCTGTGTGGAATACATGTTCTTTTCTGGGTTGCTATTACCCTTCCATTCTCCCTGCTGTAAGCTCTCTGTAGGTGACATACCACAATTTTTATTGAGGATGTCTACAGCTGAGTTTTAAAGCTGACTTCTGATCTAACGTATTTTTCCTCTCTGTTTTACATAGTCTTATCCAGGTCTACCCTTTAATCCACACAAACAAGAGTAATTTTTGTTTAAGAATGAAAATATTTTAATTAATCAACCAGCTTGATTGGTTTGGGGTTTTTTTTGAAGGTATAAAACTCAAACCCTGTGCTTGACCTCTCAAGAGTTCTGCATTAAAAGTGCTTATCCCAGATGCTGGGTGTCTATAGAAGTAAAAAAGCTTTTCTTGAATGCATTAGGGGAGTTCTTAGCAGCTCACACATGCTGCGCATTTGCTTTTATGTGGCTTTTAGATGGTATTCAGAGGAAGAAATACTTCTTGGAAAAGCTAATCTTTATTTTAGTAATGTAGATTTATGGCCAAGTGACACAAGTATGTGTGTCTCTGGAAAGTAGGGCTTTCTTTTTTGAGTTGAATTTTTGTGACAGGTGTCAGACTTCTGTGCTCTTGAGTTACGTCAGTTAACTCTGAAATGCTCATTAAATTCTATAAAGTACAAGGAATTTAATGAAGGACCACGTTAACTTTGAACTGTGTTGAATTTTCATAGAATCACAGAATGGTTTGGGTTGGAACGGACCTTAAAGACATTCTAGTTCCAACCCCCCATGGCAGGGACACCTTGCACTAGACCAGTCTGCTCAAAGCCTCATCCAGCCTGGCCTTGAACATTTCCAGGGATAGAGCATCCACAGCTTCTCTGGGCAACCTGTTCCAGTGCCTCACCACCCTCTCTGTGAAGAACTTCTTCCTGATATCTAATCTAAACCTTCCCACTTTCAATTTAAACCCGTTACCCCTTGTCCTGTCATTACAGGCCCTTGTAAAAAGTCCCCTCCCAGCTTCCTTGTAGGCCCTTTTGGCATTATTTGTTCTTTTTCAATGATATCCTTTATGATTTTCTTTATCCATTATCAATTTTCATATTAAATAATAGAAAAAAAACCCCTCAATTTTATCAGAGGTCCTTGGATATATACATTGCACGTGGATGGCTAAGATATTTTTTTCCAGTGACAAATTTCATACTTATCCCAACAACGTATTTTCTTTTCTGGAAATAAAGCGGCATTCGTTGCCACAGACTGAATCTGTGAGTTCAGGACAAAAATATAATGCAGGCACTGTATTACCTGTTAGAAAACTTGTATTCCCTGAGAACTGTTCAATAGACAGGATTAATTCCAAACCAAATTGTGTGCACACATCCCATTGAGTACAGAAGGCTTCAAGTATCCTGCCAGAGATTGAGGTGGAATGAAAAATACTTTGAGATGGATTTTTTAAAAATACTTTTTTAAATAAATTTACTAATTTTGATTTCATAATGTACTAATTTTTACTGTTCACTAAGCACAAACTTTAATCATTACAAGTTTATTAGATACTAGAATGGTATTTCTCACATTGCACTCTTGATTTGCAAGGATGTAGTGAGGTGAAATCTTTTGTTCTTGATCTCCAAGCTCATTAAACATGCCAGTAGGGTATTAGAAATGCTTAATGAAATTATTACATTGCAGGTATTTAATGAAATTCCTTTTGCTGTACACTAAGGAAAGTGTTGTGTCATATTTTCATCCCGTTTTTTCAATTTAATTTCTTCCAAGAAACCTTAATACAGCAGGTGGACTGGACAATTTTCAGGTAGTAGTTTTACCAAAAAGTAGAATTTTTAGATGAAGCAGAATAGGTTCTATATTGTTCAGAATTTGGGAAATATTTCTATTTGAAATTTTACTTTGACTTTTTTTTGGAGTCACAATAAAAGTCAAAGTAAAATTTCAAATAGAAATATTTCCCTAATTCTGAACAATATAGAACAATATAGAATATAGAATCAAAAAAAATGCTTTTTTGGACAAGGAAAATGAAGGTGATTATTTGTATGGTACTCATTCCTGGTTAATGTATCTGTTTTTTGTCTGCTAGGTTGAAGACTGATAAAGCTGTGCGTTTGAGTATCATTGGTGAGCAGAAGCTTTTATTACTTAATGCAGTTCTCAGCTTTTTAGCATAGATTTTAAGTTTTACTAACTTTATAGATACTCTAATTAGAGTTTCTTACTCTGTAATCTTAAAAGAGACTAGTGAAATGCTATAATGCCTGACCTCTTCACTCAAGTAGTATATACAGGGTTAAACTTGGGGCTGAGCACATCCTAATCTTTAGTCAGTGTACATGACAACAGGGCAGTACAGACCAAACATCTGTTTTGTACATCTGTACACGTGTTTGCTGTGCTTGTCTCCATGCTTTTTTTAATTGTGTGTAAAAGAGGAAGATATATATGTAGGTCAACAGACACGTTGTGCTAGCAAGTAAATCCAAAACTTTGAGACACAACCTGGAATATTCTTCATGTGATTGACACTGCATCGTTACAATTTCATCTGTTTAAAAATTGTGGTGATCAGAACTCTTGATCAGCAGTGGTAGTGGTGGTTTTTTTTGTTGTGTGGTGTTTTTTTTTTTTTTTTCCCCCCCTTTGGGGCCTTCCTAAGTTTCATCTTAAGTAAATGATCAAGTGATATTTAAACATTCATTTCAGGTAAGGCAAGCCATGCAGAATTTTGAAAAATGGGAGGATATTTCAAAAACTCGAAGAACTTTGATCTGGGTTTATGCAACAGTGATGATGTAGTCATTAATGTTAAGTTTATTCTTGCAGGAGAAAAATTGCAATGGTTTCAGAGTCACCTTGATCCCAGTAAAATTGAGTATACGAAGAAGGAAGCTGGAGAACTAATTGAAAAGTAAGACTCGTGTTAAAAACAGGATAAAAAAAGCTTGATTTGTCTTTTAAATTAATGTTCTTAAAATCTTTAAAGTGATGATGATTCAGAGAAAGCTTTTCTATATATCACTGTTAATAATATCAAATAGTGATTTTGTTGCAACTGAGGTTAATTGTATATTACAAGATGTATTATTATTATTTCTATTTCAATTATATATTGAAAGATTTGGCCAGTAGTAATAACCATCTAGTCAGGTTATTCAGTGACAAATGCACAGATTTAATTCCTACTCCTTTATTCTTTAATTTTCTTAGCTGAGATTAAACAGTGCTCAGGGGAGTCAGTTTTTAGGGCAAAAAATATCAGAATTGAATCTGCTAAGAAGGAACGCCATTATTTCTGTGCTGCTGGATGTAGGTTCTTGTGGCCTGTCACCATTTATCACCTGCTAGCTAAATAAGATAGCAATCTGTATCTTACACCGGTGTTCTATATCAGTTTCCTTTCAGAAGCTCTGACGTATGTCCTACATGGTTCACGAAACCTGTAAACTGCTAATCAATGCCAGTGATGCTGCAAAGGCAGTAAAAGCTTACTTTTTGGATTTGGTTTTGGGTTAGATGTACACGAGGTGATGTAGAACACATGCCAAAGGAGAACTTTACTTTAAAAAATATTATCGAGATAGTGAAATTCAGTAGTTAAGTTAGGAATACGTAGGTTTAACACTGAACTTGCAGAGCAGATGAATTATAATAATGTGTTTGGGGTTTTTTGTTTTGTTTGATGCAAACATAGGGGCCTTTCTTAAAAAGGCAAATAAAAAATCCAGTCCTGTAAGCCTCAGATGATTCAAATGAAGTTCTAAATGGAGCTTCTACTTTGAAGATCAGAAATATTACTTTAACCTAAGAAGCATCTCTGACTAATTTAGCAAATAAATACAGTTAGTGAAATAACTTCTTAGCTTACCAAAGTAATTCTGTTTTGCAGAAGTTTTGCATGACTTCATCGAGCATAAGTGCGGTTTATTTCTTTCAGCTACATGTGTCGATTCAATGATGAATTGGAGCAGATTGAGTTACAAAACAGTATTAAAGGTAGACAAGGAAGGCAGCATGGTTCACGGGAAACTGTCATCAAGCAGACCATAGAACGCGAAAGACAACTCTATGAAGGCTATGGAATGGGTATGTAAAAACATTCGAAATGAGCCTGTGGTCACAGCTTCACCTCCTGCTCACAAGGCTATAATCTACACAAAATTTTTAGGCGTTTTCTTTGTTTCCTCTTTAAAGGACTTAACTGACTGCTAGGTTTTTATGCCTGGCAGAGGAGTTTGGGAGGAGAGGCAGGGCGGAGAAGCGGAAAAAAGATGGTGGAGACCTGGCTCATATATTTCTGCTTGTGCATCTCTGCTAGTATTGCCCCTTCAGTGCAGGCATGTGTAACCTTTTTGAAACTTAAGGTGAGATCTAATGCACCTGTCCCAAATAGAGATTCTGTTCAGCAGCTTGCTTGGACCCTCATTATGTACAAAGTACTTCTCATCGTGGAAACACGCTTCAGTGGGTGCTCACGTTTTAACATGCCTTAGCCTGAAGGCTTTGTTTGCCCATGTGGGAAATAACCAGCAGCGCTTTCTCTACAGATTAACTGTTTCTTTTCTAGGTGGGCTTTGTTATCTGGACTCGTGCTAATGAAGTCTTTATAGACAGCTTCCTCCAACATTCTTTTGATAGTATGTAAACTTACTGTGAGGGATAAACCGGTGGCCTGACTTGCCCCTTTCCACTGAGATGGACCAGTGGCATGAGTGACTTAAAGCCCGTTCTCTCATAATATGAAACTTTAGGTTTCATGATTTTGAAGAGAACCAAAGTCTCTGAACTCGTGGGCCTCACATGTCTCCAGAAAGAGACCCTTCATTCCACTATGGTGGAGATGTGTTTCATGTGGGGGAGTAATTGCATCAGAAATAGTAGTACAGATATATTTCAAAATTCAAATATTTCTGGAGTTTTCCTAATAAAATTTATGTAATCCAGGATCTCATTTACACTAAAGGTTTTATTGCAGGCATAAATGATAACCCACAAGGAGAAAACCACATTTTTCCTCGTGTTCTTCTCAGGCAGAGGAATTATGCCTCCTTTCTTTCATACCCACTGGGATGGTGGGGCAGGGAGTGCAAGCGCAGTGTGTGTCTGTGAAGGCCCTAACACTTTAACCTCTTAATAATTAAACCTCTTCAACAGATTCAAAAATCTTGCAAATAAGAGCCTAATTGAAAGCACTTTCAGTTTTTAAACATCTACGTTGGCCATTATCACAAGTTTGAACAAACTCATAATGCCAGATAGTCTCACTGACTTTTTTATTACCATTTATCTTCTTTTGGGGTAGCCTTCTGTGCCATCAGACTGTCTTATGAATCTTCTGAGGAGCACCGTGTGTGAAAACCACAACATAAGCATTAGAGCTGAACATTTCCTCTTAGGTGCCTGGTCTTCTTTAAGAAGAAACACTTAAAACTCTTTTTGAGAGTAGTTTTTGATTTTGGAGGTAGCACACAGGTGAAAGCTACATGGGAGAGAGAAATGAAAGACTGAAAATTTGGTAGGTGGAACGAGGGTGGAGGGAAGCAGCAGTAATGTGGTGAAATAAGGGAGAAAGACAAAGGAATAATGAAAGTGCAAAAAATCAAAGAGTGGTTTTGAGGAGGGTCAATTACAAAATAGTACTGACATTTCTGTATTTTTATTTAACAAATAAGCACCTTGGAGTGTTGAACTTGGCGTTAATGCTGAAGTATTAGTCAAAGGCAGTCCACAGTGACAGTGACAGTACATTGTGGAAGACATGGAAAAACCTGTGTTATTCTGCTGTTGGGCTACAGAGCACAGCACAGGTGTGTTGTATTCCCTTTTCCCCCAGTTCATATTTTTCCAATAAGGAAAATGAATGGCTCTAAAGATTTTGCTGAGGTTACTTAGTACTTCCATGTCCTGCAGTGGCAGAGGAATTCAGGAGTGGCTGGGTGCCTTCATGTGTAAACTTTGATTTCTTAAAAGGTGGTGGGGGAGGCTCAGGAAGATAAATGCTAGGGATGTCATCAAATAGCTCAGCTGTAGAAACCTCCTTTTTGGTTTTGCTTTTGTATTTTAGTTCTTCCTGTTTTCCTTACTGCTTTGTGGAAAGATGACAAAAAAAGCAATAGGGCTAGATAGAAAGATGTCAAATGCACAAGCACAACATAAAAATAAAGAAGAATCCAGAAGTATTGTAAGCAAAATTTGAGGTTATTATAGTATTAGCAAGTAAAGCATTTGGAGAGCATGGTGCAACTTCACATGTTAAATAGGCTCTCAAATAGTTCATTATTTGTTACCACAGCTGCTGCAGGTTTTGCTCTCTGTCTAGGACAGTATTCATTCAGAGAAAATAGTTGCTGCTAAATACTGTAATTAGAGCTTGGGGATAAATGGAAATCAGCTGGAAACTATGCTTTTATGCTCTAGCTTATTATTATCCCTGGAAGCTGTAGTGAAGGGAGCTTTTATAACTGACTTAGTATTTACTGGGTATTTTTCTCCCTATTCTTAAACTGAGTTTTTTCTTGTATGCCTGTGCATTTGCTATGGAGAGACTACATGACTTGAGTTGTTTACACTTAGGAAAGTCTCCTAAAATTTGATACCATGTATATGTATATCTCATATATGTAAATGAAAAATTAATCCTTCTTTACTGGCTCTGTACAAGAGGGGTAAATGTCCAATAGCATAGTAAATTTTAGCTTTTTTTTTTTTTAATAGTACCTGTACAGAGAACATTCAGTCTATCTGTGAGGTGGTTGGGTTTGTTAATAGCAACTTGTCACTTCCTTACTCCTCAAATATATCTACATTAATTTTGCAGCAGTTTTCTTCCTGATGTCATTTGCGTGTGGCTTTATTTTAATCTTGGCTTACATGTTCATAGCAAGACTTCTGAAAGGGAACCCTAGATATTAACAGGATATGATCTTGCAGCTCAAAGTTAGCATGCTTTCAGTTGAAAAGCATCATTATTTCACATGGACATCATATATTTTTGGTTATTTGCTTCTGATTACCTTGCATGTTCTCTCAGAAGCATAATGTTAATCTTGTGGGGAAAACGGCCTTTGAAGCCAAAGGCACCAGTTTTATTTGTTAATTCTTGCAACTTGAGAATATAAGGAAATTGATTTAGTTCAGGTGAAAGTTGTGTCATTTACATGTTTCTGCTTGTGTAACTGCTGTACTACTTGTTAGCTGCTGTTCGCTGTAACGATCATTATTAGGTAATTGGATGGTTCTTTATCTAAAGAGCATCTCGAGTTTCTAACATCAGACTGCAGTATCACCTCTGACCTGACTTGGGTGTTTCTCTGCATGGCAGCTCTAACGGATGTGATAGATGCACAGCCTGTGCTCTCTGCAGAGCGCTGCCAGAGCAGTGGCATTTCAGCCCTGGTCAGGTTTAGGTAAATCCCTTGTGCAGTCCTTGGCTTTGGGAGAGAGAACTGGTTACTGCTGCAAAGAACAGTGGTGTTTTTAATAACGGCATACTTCTGGAAGGGAATAAAACACTTCAGACTGTCACAGAGCCCTTCTAGAGTTGTGTCCCCCAGCACTATTTAACCATGTGGCCTCTGGCACTGGGATTGGCTCCTCTATCCCCTTTCTTTCTAGTTAGGCTGTTGAAGCCCTCCAGTCCAAGCCTGTGCACAGAGGCAGGAGCTGTTAGATCTACAGCTGACGGAAGCATTTTACTTCTGACTGACTTTGAAGTCATCTGGTCCAGTGCTGCTTCGTCCAAGCAGTTGGAAAGGCGCTGACTTTAAGTATTTTACACAAGTTCTGTGTTACAAATTAAGCTCAGTCACTGTGTCTTTTTCCTTGTCATGAAGTGGTGCTAAGCACTAATACAACATCTTTTTGACAGAGTTTGAGAGCCAACATGCTGCTTGTTCTTCCTTAGAAAAAAGACAGGAAAATAAGGCGTTACCCGAAAGAGTCAGAAACATGAATAAAGTGCTTGCCTACATTTTTTGCTGCTGGCTTATTACAACACATAGGTTACTGAATACTTCATCTTAGAAATGCTAGACAGTATCTACTCCCCAAAATACTTTGTTTCTTTTCGACTAAGCCGTGTGCCATATTTCTCCATCTTCCATTTTTTCCATCTTTGGTTGAGAAAGCACTCTTCTGTGACTTAATGTGTTTTTAGCAAACTACTAAGTTCACAAGTCACAGCCGAAAAACATGACACTAGTGCATGCTAAGGAGATACTTCTGAGTGAGACAAGTGTTACTCATCTTAAAGTACAGTGCTACTGCAGCTTTCCACCATCATTTAAAGATAAGTTGCTGTGCAGAATATAATGGCTTTGTTCCTACACACAAACCAGAATGGGACTAGAGAGTCTAGTTCCTCATCTGCCAACGCTGGGGTTTGTGTTGTGTAACATATTGCAAACACAAATGTAAGCAGAAATTAAAAATTCTGTCACTGCCAAAGCACTACAGATAAATTCAGTTCCAAATCTTGGTTCGTCACAGAATCTCCCTGCTGCAGAATGCCTGCTTTCCTGTGACACTGTGTGACAGGTTAGACAAAGCTATTAAAAAACTCTGTTTGGAAATGTCCTGTGTAAGTCAATAAAAGTTATCAAGTGCTTTCCAAGGGTGTGGTGCTGATTTTTTTTTTTCCCAGCCAAAACAATCAAAAGGGCTTCACTTGAAAGTCTTGTCCTTTAGTCCTGGTTTGTCTGAGAATAACAGTGACTGTTATGTTGGGTCAGTGCTTTGATAGAAGGAACAAAAAGAAATCTCAGCACGTTTCTGGCCCGAATCAGTGTAGTGCCACTTCTGCTACACTCGCTGTTTACATCACCAAGCTCTGTCCTAGGACAAAACTGAGTAGGCTTCACTCCTTGTACAACATCTGGGAGAAGGGGAGAACAACTTTTAGGACATGTCAGCATTTGGCACTGTGCTGCCAGGAGTGCAATTCAAGGAATTCTAAAGCAAGCAAAAGGGACTGAGGCTTTGTTTCAATGCTTGGTTGGGAAGGATGGACCTAATGTGGCATTGGTGTTTATCAGAACCCAGGAATCAGTGGACAAAAAAAGGATTAGGGATATATTTCTTGGCCTTGCTGTGATGGGCTGTATCACTGTATCTATCTACCAAGAAGCAGGGTACAGAAATCAATGTAATTGGTATCAAAAACTTTTGAGTATGTTGTTTTTCTTCAGTTGGTAACTTTGTAACCCAGTGTGAAGGGAAGAAACAATTTCTGAACAACAGAGACATTCTGACCACAAAGATAGTGACAGGTGCCGTCATCCTACATTCTGTAGTAGCAAAATCATCTATAACCCTGTGGTGATAGCATCATCTGATTTATTACTCTAAGACATAGGAAAATGGATAGATGAACAAAGGCAGAGCAGTATCTTTAGGGTTTGGTCAAGGACAACATAAGAAGTTCCTGAAATGTCATGTTCTTAAGAGCTAAAATAGTCAGGTGGATTTAACATTACAGAGATAGCCAGCAGTTGAGTGACCTGCTTGCTGTGAAATCTGTACACTTCATAGGCGGCAATAAGTTATTTTATTTGTGCAAAAACTTAAAGGCTCCTAAGGCATAAATACCTGCAGATTAACGAAGGTGTTAAACACGGGTCACTTGCAAGAATTCAGAACTGGCCATGAAAAGAATGATGCTGAATAAGGGCAAAGCAGCTTAGGCATCCGAGGTCAAATTCTGCATGGGTTTATAAACTATGTGTCCAAGTAGGAAGGCATTTGCTACTCCAGGAGTGATTTAAAAACCCCCAGGTCTGTCCCATAGGTCTCTGTACAAGATGTTTGCCTGCCTTTTCACTACCAAAAGTTATAAAGATTTGTAGTGAGTATGTGTTGCTTATTTCTGTTGGTGCGGAAAACTTGCAGTCATGAAAACTTCTGATGTTTCAGTCGAGAGGAACATCAGCTCATGAGAGGAGGCAGATGCCAACAGTCTCCATAAATATTATGTTGCATTTGCTGCAGTGTTTAACAGGCATTTTGGCAACCACTGGATGCTGGTGTCCCAGTATTGAGTGGTTTATAGAACAGGTATTTAACAATAGAAACTATAAGAACATTGTAGTGAGAGTAATTGTTACCAAACAGCCATCCTTTTCTCTCAGACTGTCTCACTGAAAGTGGAAGAAAGTAGTAGTATATTTCAAAATCCAAGAATGTAAACACCTGACAACCTTACTGTATTCTTCCCAGTGTTCATATTTTAAAAACACACACATCTATAATCTAGTACTGCATGGTAAATTTTACTCTTACGTTTTCTTACTTGAATTACCAGGGTTACTTTCCTAACTGCTGCTGATCTGTCTTGCTTGCCGTGGTGTTTTTTTCTAAAAACATTTCAAAATACTTAAGGGCCGCTTAGTACCCATTAATTGTGAGTGAAGCTTGTATATTTAGGTCAGCTTTGAAACTAAGCTTTCTTATTTTACCTTTTATCTGTTGTGCATATTTACAGTAATTTCTGCAGAGCAGAGTTGTCTTTTTATTATGTGGGTGAGTAAATGTCTGTTAAAAACCAGCATAACCAGGCCTTGGTCTTGGGTGCGGATGTTCATTATGCTTTTAAAACAAATAATGAATAAATTATTTTCCTAGTTTCATCACTGGACTTTCCTTGAAGAGAAACTCTAAATGCTTAGAAATTAAAGGGAAATTTAAGTGCAAGAAACTTGCAGTTTCTTGGGTGTGTCAGCGAAAATGAAGCACCCTCTTTTTGTTACTTCTTGTGGATTTTCAGTGGCTGGTATATTTGAATTCTGGAACAGTTCATAGGTATAAATTCAGTTCCTTTTCTTTAGCTGTAAGAGGTTTTCCTGTTTATATATAGCTCTATAAACTTTCTAATATGAATCCTCATTCTCATTTTCTTGGTCTTTTAATCTCTGAAATAATCCATTTAGCCATTTAGTGCATATTTCTTTCTTTGAAGTGAGACTCACTTGAATAATGTAACACATCTAATGGAATTTAATTTCATTCCAATTAGAAATCCCAGATATTATGAACAGAAAGCATCTCAAATTTTTCAGGTAAGTTCTTTTTATTATCACTGCTAATGTGTTTATGCAAAACAGTGCTTCTGAATGTGACATGTCGTAGCTCTTTTTTCTTAAAAAAGAATTTATGCAAACCTGTCAAAGAATTTGTTGTTTGAAAAAGCAGCCTAGGTATGGTGTTGCTATTCTGGCATTTCTTAGCTGTTACAAGCTAAATGCAGGTGATGGTGGATCATTAAAACATCTGAAGGGTTAGGAAGCTTCAGCAGTTAGAATTCCATTTCTCTGACTTAAGTATCTTTGTTTCGATATTTTCTCTGTACTTAAAATTTTCACCTCAGCTGTTCACTGATTTACACAAAAAGGCTTAGCATGTACTGTTAGTGTGCAGGGATCAAGACACAGATTTACTGATAAATGGCGTTACACTGTTACCTGAAATGAGATTTCAGATGGTGATTGTAGTCACATAGCATAGTGACCCAAGTTATCTATAGTCAGAACTAATTGTGACGAAACCAGTACTAAGTTTGTAGTCATGTTTTCTAAGATCCAACTCCAGGTGTCTGCAGCAGTGTTCTTGTGTAATACTAGTTGAAAATCTTAAGTGAATTGATGACTTGCACCCAGTTATAAGTTCTGGGAGCTGTGAAACCTGCTGCTAGCTTATCTGGGGCAACAAGCCAATATGCCTTGGTCACGGATTGCGTGAACGCTCTTGCTGACAGCTCCATCCAAGGAGATACTTTAACGGAAAAAAACGAATTATGACTGCTTTTGTTGCCAGGAATGATACATCACCAACTCGTAGGGGTGCTGTGTAGCCATAAGTCATGCGTACAGGATGTTGGAATGAAGTCAGATATCTCAAAGAAGAGCCAGGGCTGTGGCAATTTACTTCTTGTACAGGGACATCTGGTGGAAGTGTTGTTTTGTTACCTTGGGTCAGCAAACCACTCTCTGAATCTGTGAAAACCACGTCTGTCTTCTAACTGGCAAATACTGTCTTTGCCTTTGAGAATAATTATCCATGAAGTGCACTTGCTGTAATCAAGCAAGCGTTCTGTTAATTGAGTACTGGATTTGACTTGTGATATTTAAATGAACCCTTCTTCCTTCACGGAGCCTTTTGAAATGATGTGAATTAATGTTTACTAACATTCTGTGTCCCCTTGAAGTCAGCCATACAAGATGTGAACAGTTACTGTAAATCATAACAAAGGACTTTATGTACCTTAGCTCTGGGAATTGAGCATCCAGATGAAGACACTCTTCCAAACTGCTTTTCCATTGCTTACAAGACTGGGAGTTTATTGTGTCAAACCTAAGAAGAGGTGGCCTGAAGTAACTGAGCACACAGATAGTCTGTGGGAATAAAGTGAATCATATATTTTTTGTTCAGAATGGCAAATCTGAAAGTACTTAATTCTTCACAGAGAAATTACAGAGCTGCTGTAGTGTACAAGATCAGGTGAAAACTGTGCTTATTCATACTGTAGTGGGACTGATAGGATAATTCAGAAAAGCAGCCTCACTTGAGTTAACATCCTTCTTGCTATTTCTGTTGGTAATTGGTTTTATTTTTTTTTTTCTTTAAGGGAATGGGATGGTGATCTGAGGAAACTGCCAAACATCAAAATGAAAAAGCTCTCAGCTGGGGATGCTGCTTGCAGTCACCCTGAGGTGGCAGATGTGGAAGCCAAAGAAGAATTAAATAAAGCAGAAGAGATGGCCTAATGAGCACCAGCTGATTCAAGAGCTGAAACAGCTGAAGGGAATTGTAAGAAACCTATTTTAATTACCACTGGAAAACAAGAATAAATTCTACCTATATTTGCAGAGGCTTTGCTGGTTGCATTTCTTATGAGCTCAATGTGTACCCGTGGTGAAGAGTAAACTATGTATTATTCGGTAAAGATTTATAATATTGGATAAACATTTTTGAATATAAAAGGATACTTAAAACCTTAATTATGTCCTTATTTTTTCTCATACTATACCTTCTCTTTAGGAAGCAGGCTCCTGAGTTTGCAGGACAGTTGTAGTTTGTATCTTGAAATCCTGGCTAGTTGTGTCCCTCTTCCCTGGTCATCCAGCAGTCAGGATTCAGACACCTGTTAGAAGTACTTTGTGGTGGGAAATCCTTACCTTTTCCCAGTAATGCTAGAATGTATGCAATTTCATGTATATTTATATACAGGTATCCTGGTAAACAGTCGGCCCAGCTAGTGACAACTTTTACCCATCTCTTGTGGTGGTGGCTGGGATGTCTTCAGGTATACGCAGTTTTGTGGAGAGCAGCCAAAGGCCTCAGCTCTCAAAATCCTGTGCTGTGTGGCCTGAAGCACTCACCTTGGTGTTAGAAATGCTCTCCTATTAGGTGGAAATATCCAGAAGATGAGATACGTGGAGCATCAGATAGTCAGAAGAACTCTTCTCTTGTACCTTCTTTTGTCTGAGAATCTGTGTCAGGAACATGGAGAGCTGGAAAGATGTCAATAAAATACTGAGTATTTTAGGTTTTGCCAAGAGAACTTGAGAGAATTAGAGTGCTCACCACTCTGTATTGATGACTTCAGATCAGAAGCCAGTTAAACTCCCCACGGTCTGTTTTTAAATACATCTTTTGTCCATATATTTTACTGTTGACGTCTCCGCTGAGAGAGCCGTGCATTTTAAACTGAAGTTGCTTAGGACTTTCCAGTTGCAGGCTTGCTTTATGTAGGTGCCTTTATCTGTCTTTCAAGAAGGTTTTTAGCAGATTCTCACTTCTAATACCATTAAAAAAGAGAAAAAAAAGAGCAAGGGCAAAGCCTGGGATAATTTCACAGCAGGTGTTACGTAGGACATCTCTGTGAGTACGGGTTAGAGTGTCTGGGCACAGAAGTCGCAGCTCAGATGTACTGTCTGTGCACATTGTAGCAGGCAGTGTTCAGATGTCTGTTAATTACATGGAAATAATTATTCCTGTTGGATGATCTTCCTAGTAAGTGATCCCTGGTACAGTTCTGTGTGTTAAACAACAAGGCTATGTCTTCGTGAGTAGTTGTGTGGGTTTCCCAGATTTCTTTTACAGATACCTAGGTGTGTATTTTCTTACCTGTGCAGTAAGTGTTACTGATGAGTGTTACTCTGTTAACATTTATGTTGAGTTTTTCCCTCTTTCCAAAATAGGCTTGTGCTATCCTTTCATGTTTTAGGAAACCAGTCTACTTAGGTAATGTGGAATTAACCATTATCCTACTTAAATTCTTCTTAAAGAAGAAACCTGAATAAATTTAACCTGAAGACCTGAATTTAACAGACCCGAAGCATGTGTGAGCGATCCAGTGCACCTGCAGACGGACTGCAAGACTTCAGCCGGCTCGAGGTCTCGCCCTCTGACACGAGCCATGTCACCAGGCCATCACATCACTGCTTTGTGCTTTTGTTTTAGACATCAGCGTGCTCAGGTTCAGGGAGGGACTTTGGTATTAACTTCTTTAAAATTGAGCTGTGTTGTGGAATTGAGCTTGTTGTGATTTATAAAGCTTGAGGTGTTACACTCTTGTGGAAGCCGAGCCCTAGTAAGTGGTCTGAACTGAAGTTTGTTCTGTGGTTTGACAGATTTTTGCCTTTAAGAAGACTGATCTTAGATTTTTGCTTGTGTACAACATCTGCTGTGCTTTGGAGTTTCAAGCTGAAACATTGCCGGAAAAGTTACTTTCCTATCACACTGGGTAAAAGACAGAAGGAAAATGAGCATAAGGGAACGAGAAAGTTTAGCATGTCACGATAATGACAATGTTTTAGGCTGACATCCTGGTGAATGCTTTAAAAAAAGACTGTCGCACAAAGTTAAGGAGAATGAAACGTTCTGTATTCCTTGAAGCAATTCACTAGTAAGGCATTATAAAAAAGTAATTATTACTTGTGTGGTTGATGTCGTAGTCAAATATTTGAAGTGATTTCTTTTTTAACATTTGTTATTCACATTTAAAGAATTGGTTTTCAGTTTGGATTGTTGTTGGGTTTGTGGATTTTCTCTCTTAAGTCCATGTATTCACTGCTTGTTTAGCTGCCTTTTAAACTGTCTTGCTGACCTGATGCATAAGTAATGAGAGGAGAATGGTTTCTGTGTGTGAACTTTTTACACTGAATTATCAGAAAACCGTCATACGTACCTGTCGGGCATTCATACGTGAATGGAAGAGTATTCCAGGCTTAAGTGATAATGTGCAAGACCCAATTTACCAGGTGAGTCTTGTTGCAGAATGCTACTGTGGCAGTGGGAAAGAAAGCAAAAAAACCCCAACCCCAAACAAAGCTCGCTATTTATTCATTCATTTTTAATTTCTGTGCTCAGAGTTTTTGTGCTGAGAGGCCTGGAGCGGGGGGCGTGTGGAGAGAGTCTTTTGCCTCACGTGTGTTACTGAGACAAGGTAGTGGCGATCGTGCCCGTGTTAGAAAGCCAGCTTTAGGGGTCTGTGTGTTAGTGAGTTTCTTCCTGACAGTGGGAAGGATGAATGCTCTCAGGAGTTCTGAACTGTTCTGTTTCTCTGAACTCCAGAAAGCAGCTGCTGTTAACAGTGGGAATGGGAAGTATTTATGTGATGTTCTCTGTTCTTACAAACTTGCCGTAGGGAATACCTTGAAATTACGTTCATTTCTAACTCTGGATTACAGACTTTAATGTTATATCCTCTATTATAATTCTTTGTAATTAACAGAGTTTTTTTCTGGTTAAAAGATTAATTTTATGGAAGACTTCTTTCATTCTTAACTTGTCAGATACTGCTTCACAATGTCCCTGTTTTTCTTAGTTTTTAACTGCAAAGTTGTAATACGTAAAACTCATGTTTCTGTAATTATTGGGGCTCATACTAAACATACGAATTTTCAAATAAAAAAGTAACATTTTAACATGGAAAGCCACTTATATGAAAGATTTTCGGTTGTTTTTAATGTACTTTCTGAGTTGTTACAGTGTGCCTTGCAGTGTGCTTCCTGAGGTCTGCGTTCGCTCCAGCCAGCCCTGGAGAGCCAAGACCTCCCTAAGGATGTGGCTGAACTGCAATTAAACTCTCAGTAGCAGCTGAGTGGTTAGTTGTGCACTGATTCCGAAACTTACTGTATTGGTTGTCTCAGCTGGGAAGAACCAGTCGATTTTAATTGTTGATTAAAAAAAAAAATCCACACAGAAAAAGCCCCAGAACCACAGAAAACAATATCCCTCTCAAGGCTGGTTGCATGCAGTGGATTAATTAATTTACAGTTCTTTAGTGTTGGAATCAACTATGACTGAACTAATGGAACTGTTCACCATAGCTTTCCAGTCTGCTCCACACAGCTCTTTCTGAAGGGATGACGCTTCCAGTATTTGTGATGAGAGGAAACAAGCATACAGGGAAGCACCTCACCTGTGTTGCATTTTTTCTTTTTTTCATCTACCAGTGTATATGTCAATGCTTACGGAACCCCGGTATGCGCAGAGGATGCAACACCCCAAAAAGGCAACGTATGTGAACTGCTTTCTGAGCCACTGCTCAGTGAGTTCCAGGAGTACACCTAGAGAGTATCTTACGTGTGATTTTTGGTTGTGTCTTTGATTGCAGCAGCGTGTGTACTCATCTCTGTAATGACACTTCTGAGTGTGGGGACAGAGCCTGGGATCCAAAAATGTGTATGCTGGAGCCCAACTTTTAAAACCCCTTTTTTTGCCAGACACCTTGAAAAGTAGTGAAAAAGGACATTATTGGTTTTTCTCAGCTGAAGAAGTTCTCCACCTGAGGAATCCCCCAGGCTTAGTTTTCTAGTAAAGGGCCAAGGAGCACCTGCTTTTCAGAAGTATGTCAGATTGCCTGGTTTGGTCAGTCTCCGCGTGATGCAATGCCTACATCTTATTTCTATCTTCTACCTCTTTCAAGAGTAAAAATTCATTATGAATTCAGACTTTCTTCCCAAAAAGAAGTAAGTTTTATGAAGGTAAGAAACACTGCTAATGAGGTGTTCTGGTTTATGCACTGCAGTTTAAGTTGTTGCCTTAAATACTCTGCAGAGTTCCTATAATAAAACTCTTAAAATAAACTGACATTGGGAGGCTTGCTGTAGTGGTCCTGTAATGGAGTTCCCTAAGCCTTGTATGGCAAATATTGCCCAATTTCCTTAAAGGGAAGAGTTTAAGATTTAACTAGTTACCTGTTACAAATGAAAAATAAAACTATTTAAACTAAGTTATTAGACCAAAATGCCAGCGTTGCTCTAAAAACAGAAGCATTTCCTAAAGAAATAAGGAAAGGTGGCAGCATTCTGCTGATGTCAGCTCACACACAGTCAGTAACATCCTGATCTGAAGATTTGTAAAGTGACATTGCCTATTGCTAGGATGTGAACTGGCCAAAAATTCTTACCCATAGTTTTTAAATGAAATATTCTTCTTTTCCCCCGGCTCTCAACACGTACTAGCAAGCCTAGCGATAAAGTGGTGCTTGGAGTAGGTTCACTGAAGCCTTTGCCTGAACTTTCTTCTGGACTGATTTGTTCTTCTGACTGCATTCTTCAGGGCTCCTGTAAGTATCAGTCTTGCTTCTGACAGCCATTAAGGTTTGGTTGGTTGGTTGGTTGTTCTTTGCCGAGTTTATTTTAATATAACCCATCTAAATCTTGCGACTTTACTCTTCCTGCCTGTGCTGTTTGTGAACCATTATTAAGTTCTGCAGAGCATGTTGTTTACCTCCCAGACATACGCATACACTGATGCAATGATCCTTCCTTCACTATAGCCTTGTTTCTTCAAATGATAAGTTGCACAGGGTCTGAAGAGGCATTGTAACTATGTGGTAGTTCTGAAAAAAAAAACCAAACA